CAACAATCTGAGCCAGATAAAGATAGCCCAGAGATAGGCAACGGTGAGGATGACCCTTTGCCTCCAGAGGGACCAGGACAAAATTTGGACAAAAAGCCGATCCATATTGTGGTCCTGCCCAGTGAGTCCCACATTAACAAATTTTACGGGGACGGTGATCCAACCTTAACCAACAGGTTCAGTGAAGAGGTCAGGGCTGCCTGGGCCTCGAGATACATGTCACCAGAGGAAAGATTAAGACTGCTGATGGGCAGTATAGGAGAGATGGTTAGGGCAGAGGTCAAATGCCACGATAAAACCATCCAATCAGATCCAGATAAGGTGCTGGATCTAATTATGGAGACCTTTGGGGAGAGACGGTCGGGATCGCAACTGCTGTCGGTGTTTGTAGGTATAAAGCAGAGAATGGCGGAGAGTGTGATGGAGTATTCACACCGAATGAACGGGGCCTTTGAAGCTGTAAAAGGCAAAATACCCGACATAGATGCGCGCCTGCTGAGGGACCATTTTATCGAGGGGCTGGCGACCCCTATGGCAAGAAGATATTTGAAAGAAGAGGTCTACAAAGACCCACAGTTGACCTTCCTTCAGGTCAGGAACTCAGCGATCCGCAGGTCCGAGAATGAGGACCAATCGAACTGTTCGGTAGACAAAGTCTCTGTGCCGGAACAGAAACAATCCCCACCCACAGGGACCGGCACGATGGAAACCATGATGGCTCAACTGTTGGCCCACCTGGATAAGGTTGACCAACGATTGGAGAGGTTACAAAGCAGGTCAACAGCTGAGAATCAGGGCAAAAACGGGACAAAACAGAGACAGGTTGGACAGCCGCGACCCGCCGGTCCATCGCTCCGGTGGACGGCTGATGGTCGACCAATTTGCCTGTCCCGCTCACAACCCGGACATATGGCACAATACTGTCCGGTGAAACGATCGCCCTCTGTAAGGCAAGGCAAGGCTACAGAGAGGCGAGGTTATGGCTTAAGAAACAAAATGGGACAAACAATGAAAGAGTCTCAAACAAGACTTGAAGAGAAATTATCAGATATTGAAAAAGAACTTCAAATCACAGCAAGGCTGGGATCCATCGAACAGCGATGGGCAGCAGAATTGGCACTCTTTGACCTGGAGAGAAAATATCGCCCAGGGCAGTCCAATGGTAATGCTGACGCGTTATCAAGGAATCCTTACGAGAGACCGGGCGATGAGGAAGAAACGCTGACAGGAATATGTGAGGTCAGAGCGTCAACAGATATCCCTCACGGGGTGCAAGTGATGCAAAATGGGCAGACCGGGGTGGAGCACATATCCACACAGACCGGACATATGGCACGGTACTGTCCGATGAAACGATCGCCCTCTGTAAGGCAGGTCAGGGCTACAGAGGGGCGAGGTTATGACTTAGTAAACAAAATGACACAGAAACACAGTAAGGAGGAAAAGAAAGGTAAAACACAACTAATAGAAAAAATGAACTGTGAAATGAACTTGGATGTTGAAAAGTTTCAAGTGAACAATTTGTTGGTAGAGAAAAATGATGATAAGAAGAAAATTGGTAGACTTAATAAAGGAATTCAAAGTCTAACCAGGAAACTGGATAGGAAAAGTTCATGCAAATTAAAAGCACAGGAGAAATGTTCATCTTTAAAGTGTCTGTTATCGGAAGAAGTAAATAAAAATATTAGACAACAGAACAGTGTTGGCAAACTAGAAGAAATGATAGACAAAGAAAGGCGAGTGATGCAAAACGGACAGACCGGGGTGGAGCACATTTCCACAGAGCCCGGACATATGGACATCGGTGATTTTAATTGCCTTAATCACAAAGAGATAAGAGATGCCCAGAGAACGGATAGCGGGTTACAGCCGCTATTGAAATACGTCCAGGAACAAAAATTCCCAGGAAAAAGGGAAAGAGAACAGTTTGGTCGGGAAACAAAGAAACTACTGAGTCAGTGGAACCGTCTCAGTATAAAGGATGGTGTTCTCATGCGGAGAATTCATGACCAAATAGACGGGACAATACACCAGGTGGTGGTGCCTGGACAATTACGAGAAGAAGTGCTAAGGTTGGCACATGACAGGGCAGGACACCAGGGTCAGGACAGGACGCACAAAATTTTACGACGGAGGTGTTACTGGCCCAATATGGAAATGGAGGTCAAACGCCATTGTGAGGCTTGTGTGAGGTGTCAGCATGCGAAAATGCCAGTTGTCAAAATGAGACAGCCATCAGGACACCTACTAGCGACAAAACCACTAGAGATTGTGGCTATGGACTTTACGTCGTTGGAGCAATCATCGGATGGGACGGAACATGTGTTGGTAATGACTGATGTATTCACCAAATGGACTGTGGCGGTGCCCACACGAGATCAGACTGCCAAAACAGTGGCAAAGGTCTTAATAGAACATTGGTTCATCAAATATGGCATACCAAGACAATTACACTCTGACCAAGGAAGGGCCTTCGAGTCAGAAGTAATTAACCAACTGTGCAGCCACTACGGGATCAACAAATCTAGAACAACCACATTTAATCCGAAAGGAAACGGACAGTGCGAGCGGTTCAACCGCAGCATGCATGATTTGCTGCGTACGCTAGAACCTGAACAGAAAAAACGTTGGCCTGATTTTCTCCCAGAGTTGGTATATCTATACAACTGCACCCCCCATGCCACAACCGGCTTTTCGCCACACATGTTGCTGTTCGGACGGGAGGCTCGACTCCCTCTTGACTTGTTCCTAGGAAAAAAGGAAAGTATGACTGGCTCATACACTGCACTGGAATATGTGAATGAACATATGAGACGAATTAGAGAAATGTACAGGGTAGTACAGGAAAGACTAGAACATGAAGCACGGCGAAGGGAACCGCCGGTACAGACAAAGGACCCGCCACTCAAACTGAACGACAGGGTATTACTGCGTAGCCACCCGTTAGGCAGAAACAAAATCCACGATCTCTGGGGACAGGAGATATGGCAAGTCGTGGAGATGCCTAAAGTAGCAGGTGGCCCCTTTAAGATAAGACCCATCGATCACGCCAAACCGGATCGGTGGGCGAATATTGCTCAATTAAAGAAATATTGTCATAGTCAAGAAGAGCAGTTACACACAAGGAAACCCAAGACAATTAGGGAACCGGAAACTATAACGGAAATTCACATACCCATCCCGGAACCATGTCACCATCAAGAGAACAACAGCGAGACACAAGTGGAGGATAACGGCAACGAAGAGGATCCCGTTCCTCCCAGAAGCAGGGAGACAGTAGACCATCAGATAAGTGGTCCGCGGAGAAGTTTGAGAAACAGAAAGAATACGAAATTTTTTGTCAGCAACCATCAATTCTTTCATGGTCGCGCTGGTATGAGAACAGACTGTTCAAAAAGTCATAAAAGTGAACTGGTGAAGGCACCAAACGAAAAAAGGTGGATGTGAATTCTAGAACTGTTTTGTGTCTGAGGAAGATGATGTAGACACATTGGATATGTGAAATAGGGATAACTGTCAATCTTTTACGAATGTGACGACATTGACAGTGAGTGGAACAATAAATTTTTTTTACGATGGTGCGATGGACATTTAGGAAGTGCACCTACCAAGCGTTGTTTGTGGTTGAAAACACACAAAAAAAGGCGGCGGTGGATGTAACTAGGGTGGGCCTAGTTACTAGTCACTATTGTTGAGAACGCGATAGTGCAGGTGTTGGACTGATAAGCCAACTGATAACGATCATAAAGCCACGGCGTAGTTTGGAAGGATACGACAAGCGCTGTCAACTTTGACACGACTTGGCTGATGAAACAGTGCAGATGTTATATTAATCGGACTGTACGACAGAAGCGGCGTAATTAACATTCTGATGCAACGATTAGAATCGATTACGATTACGACTATGATAGAACCGAATACGAATACGAATACGAAGGGGATATAAGGAAGGCGACGGCTGAGCTCGCTGTCTCAGTCTCTCTCTCTCTCTCTCGATCAGTCAGTCTGTGTGGCAGTATCAAGTTGGTTATATTGTGTTAAGAAGGACGATAGACATGTGTATTCAGTTATATGAAGACTAGTGAGGACTGTTGGGAGTCAGTTGATTCAAACTATTATTGTGAAGCATTCCTTTTGATTCAGTATATTATTGTGAAGCATTTCTTTGATTCATGTAATAAAAGGATCAATAGCGAACCTGCATCTTCGAGTATCTATACTGTGGTCGATGTTGTGTAGAATGAGTGGTTAGACTCGGTAACATTTGGCGTTGTCGAGCAGAACTCGTTAACATTTGGCGCTACAGGCAAATAGTCTCGTTACATATATATATATATATATATATATATATATATATATATATATATATATATATATATATATATATATATATATATATATATATATATATATATATATATAATGTGTTTGTATACATGTAATACGTGTTTGTGTTGAGATTTTGCGACTTTGATTGTATCGCTCGTCCACTAGCACTTAAAAAGTATATGTACCATGTATTCGTGTTTAAAAATTGCGACATTAATTGTATCTCAACGTCTTCCAATCTCACTTAAAAATGATGTAGACCTACCACATACGTGTGTTGTTAATTTGAGACATTGTTTGTGACGCTCGTCCAATGGCCCAGGAAAAAAAAAATTACAATTAGATTTAGCTCAGGTGAGTTGTTCGGTTTTGGCTCGAGTCTCAACTGGTCTGTCAGACATATCGTGTGCAGGTCAAGGTGTCCAGTGGAGCGTGACATGACCACTGGTGCGTCACAACAGAAAACCTCCACACTACTGAATTAAGCTGAAAAAAATCCAAGCAATATACGACACTCTCACACCTAATCATACCGCTATTCATTGTTTACTTGTTGCACACACCCCCTCCTTCACCCCCTGTTCCTGTAACCAACCAACCAGAACTAACCCGGCCCTCTGACCAATGTTGTAACACGTGATGCCAATTCTCTGAATGTGACCTATTTTCAGATCCACTCAACCGCGATGCCCAGGATGAGTTTGTGGTAATCGAATCCAAAGACGACATAACAGGTGTGTGACGTCATGTCATTGTCCCCATCACGGGCATCGCACCCTTCATTCGTCTCATCAAAGGCCGATCACTCTGATTAAACTTTAAGGGGGCTTAACTCTGCCCACAATTAAGCTTATGAAAGGGGGGAGGGGGGTTAAATAGTTTCATCGATTTTGTCAGCATAAGATTAGAAATGTTGTAATAATCTTGTTGTAATACTCGACTCACCGTGAATTGTTGTTTTGATTAAAACTAATCCCAGTTAAATACATTTATAACTTACCTCCCTGCTTTAGATTTACACATTTATCTCCCCTTATTTATCTCCCCCACATCTCCTGCCTGTACCCAGGTTTTTACTTCCCCACCCCGTTTTTCTAACCATTTCTTCTGCTTTAACCCTTTTGCTTCTATATTTACACCACTAAGCTTTTAACAAGATAGCATAAGATGGCGGTGCTAGCGAGTCCACTTGTTGAACCGAAACGGGTCTTCCTCGTGAATTTCGTTTCTTCAGCCCAAGATGCAACACCACAATCCGTCAAAAAAATTAAATCAATAGATCTAATTCCTTTTCATTCCAACTGAAACGTTTTGGAACATTTGCGTACCACTGTTAGCCGAGCTTTATTGGAACACACAAACACGGAGTTGATAATCACAGGACTACCATCTCATAAGGCCCCTCTGCTATTTCAGGTTCCAAAATAAACAGCTGAATGTTTCTCCGAATAGCTGAACTTTTTTTTGAAGAAATTCATGCGCTCCGGACAGCTGAACTGCGTGCTTCAAACAGCAGAATATTCTTATCATTTTACGCTCTGAATAACTCGACCATCTTTAGCCTAATCTGATCATTACGTTGACCCAGCTCAACAAAAATCTGCCCAATCCCAACATCCGTCAACCCAATCCCAACATCCGTCAACCCAATCCCAACATCCGTCAACCCAATCCCAACATCCATCAACCCAATCCCAACACCCCAATCCCAACATCCGTCAACCCAATCCCAACATCCGTCAACCCAATCCCAACATCCGTCAACCCAATCCCCACATCCGTCACCCCAATCCCAACATCTGTCAACCCAATCCCAACATCCGTCAACCCAACCCCAACATCCGTCAACCCAAATTCCAACATCCGTCAACCCAGTCCCAACATCCGTCAACCCAATCCCAACATCCGTCAACCCAACCCCAACATCCGTGAACCCAAATTCCAACATCCGTCAACCCAATTCCAACATCCGTCAACCCAACCCCAACATCCGTCAACCCAAATCGAAAATGTCCATTTGTCAAAAATGCCTCCCATTTAAATTGCAAACCAGGCCCCAAACAAAGCCCAATCTCGCAATGGCCAATTCCCCTTGCGTCTTAACGTCCTTTTTATTTCTAATTTTTTTTTTGGTCTTTAAGTTTAAATTTTAACATCAGCTGCGCATGCTCAGCGTAAATATGGTAATGGAAAGCTGTGAATGGAGATTTGTCCAATGAAAATTTAAAATACAAAAACGCACAAGGAACGACAACTCCAAAATCCATCTTGTTACATTCTTACAGCGGACTAAAGCAAGGGCTTGTACAGGCGAATCTCGCGGCTGTATGGAGCAACATTTGACATTTAGATGCCACATCAGCCTGCGTGTCACTGCTAACGTCCGTATGTCTTAGACTGTCTTGTCTGGAACACCAAATTTGTGTCTCGTTTGCTGATTTGCCTCAATGAGCCGGGGAGTGGACGGCTCAAACTTGTATGAGCCGAGTACATGTTTTTATTTAGTCGGAGAGTGTAGCACTTTATCCACATAGTATCTTCTAATTAGTCTAAAATATGTAGTGAGAATGATATCAAGCATCGTGTCACAATGGTATCCAGCTCTCCCTAACCTACGCCACATCGTCTACGCCAAGAATAAACCTACACAATGTTTAATTTTTTCAAAGAAAACTAGTTCTACAGAAGTAGACAGGGTTGTCGTTCATCGCGCCAATACTGTATTGTCTCCCCTGGCGCCACCCAGAGAGTTGTCCTTCTTAACGCCTCTTTTGTGTTGGGCAGACAAGTCGGGAAACGCCCCCGTCGGTGCTGTCTTCTGTTAAGCCGTCGTCATGACAACTCATCAATACTATTGATCAGGCTTCGATCATAGTCATCTCAAACTAATCGAACAAAGAAATCAATTTATTATTAAATCAACCAATGGATTCTACAATGGAATTAACCAGTCAATCGATCAACCGATGACAGAATCAGACTATACCGAATTTTTAAATTAACTAATTGTGCGCTAGAGTGTCAATTAGTATCACAGATGGGCTAATGAGCTCAACATCAACTTCCCCATCTAAAACATGACATTTGTGATATAACCTCTACTTCTCCATCTAAAACATGACATTTGTAATACAACATTAACTTTTCCATCTAAAACATGACATTTCTAATACAAACTTCTCAATTTAAAACATGACATTTTTAGCACAAAATCAACATCCCAATCGAAACATCGACATTTTTAACACAACATGAGCAAGCTGCTTGTGGTTCACTATTTTGTATCACCACCTCAGTTCTAACATTGATCCCCACTCTGACTCTAACCATGACTCTATTCCTAACTCTAGCGCACGCCCTAAACAGCAGAGTTTCTTCCAGGCATCTCTTCCGGAGAAAAAAGTCTGGAAGAAACACTGCCTAACAATGATACCATAAAGCCCTGTCTAAGATGCTAAAAAATAAAACCCAAACATGTATGATATTTTATGTCCCACGACCAACCAGCTGAACACGAGGAAGTTGCCAGATAGTCTTACGGTAAATGATGTGTGGGAAATAAAGTTTTACATTGATGTAAAACATTTAAAATAAAACAACCAGCGTAAATAACTTTCAGCTATTTATTTCAAGCGTGGAATGCTTCCATTTTTTAATAACTTTTTTATCATCCCATTTTTAAAATAAAATATTACAATATACGCGTTTTGATTTTTCTCTTTGAAGTAAATCCTAACAAATTTTTCTTCACTTTTTATGTATCACGTTTATCGCTAATTAACTGCACTCTTGCTTGTATTTGTATAGCCTAACTGCATGTTAAAATTGGGTTTAGGTTGTTCAATTTTTTTTTAACTAAGCATGTTTTAATTAACCAAAAAAACTTAAAATAATAGCTATTGATTTTTAAATATGCCTTTTGTTTTTTTAATCGTTTAACTCTAAAATTTTCATATAAACTGTTATGTCCCCTGTTTTAATGTGTTATGCCCCTGTTTTACTCTGTTATATCCCCTGTTTTAATCTGTTGTTTCCCCTGTTTAAATATGTTATGTCCATTGTTTAAATCTGTTATGTCCCCTGTTTTAATCTGTTATGTCCCCTGTTTTAATCTGTTATGTCCCCTGTGTTTAATATTTTGTCCCCTGTTTTAATCTGTTATGTCCCCTGTTTTTAATATTTTATGTCCCCTGTTTTAATATTTTATGTCCCCTGTTTTTAATATTTTATGTCCCCTGTTTTTAATATTTTATGTCCCCTGTTTTAATCTGTTATGTCCCCTGTTTTTAATATTTTATGTCCCCTGTTTTTAATATTTTATGTCCCCTGTTTTAATCTGTTATGTCCCCTGTTTTAATGTGTTATGTCCCCTGTTTTAATCTGTTATGTCCCCTGTTTTTAATATTTTATGTCCCCTGTTTTTAATCTGTTATGTCCCCTGTTTTTAGTATTTTATGTCCCCTGTTTTTAATATTTTATGTCCCCTGTTTTAATCTGTTATGTCCCCTGTTTTTAATATTTTATGTCCCCTGTTTTTAATCTGTTATGTCCCCTGTTTTTAGTATTTTATGTCCCCTGTTTTTAATATTTTATGTCCCCTGTTTTAATCTGTTATGTCCCCTGTTTTAATCTGTTTTGTCTCCACTTTTAAACTGTTAAATATCTAAGGCTATTAAGACATAATTATGATAAAATCAAAACTAACTAAAACCCAACCCATCATAGACATTCTAACCATAGGATATAGTTTTAGTCTACCAGTTCTACCACTGACCATTAGGATCTTTATTTACCTCAGATAGTCACTGACCATTAGAATCTACTACAGAGAATATCGTTAGTACTATAAATGAAACTACATCATTCATCTGAGTGAATTATCAAATGGTTCCCGTCTGGGTGTGTCTGGGGGGACGTAAAGACGGTCCTCCTTAAAATGTGGGCTTTGTATATATCCACTGTGTCTGGGTGGGGGGGGGGACGGCAACACCACCCTCCTGGAAATATTGGCACCCACGAGGGTTTATGCTCGGCCCTGTGTCTAGGTGGGGGGGGGGGGGTACCACCCTCCTGGAAATATTGGCACCCTCGAGGGTTTATGCTCGGCCCTGTGTAGATGGGGGTGGCGACGGCAACACCACCCTCCTGGAAATATTGGCACCCACGAGGGTTTATGCTCGGCCCTGTGTAGGTGGGGGGGGGGGGGGCAACACCACCCTCCTGGAAATATTGGCACCCTCGAGGGTTTATGCTCGGCCCTTGTCGACCCTGAGAGCAGTACTCGAGACAACTCGGCGAGACGCCATGATAAAAATATAAAAATATTTTAGAGTAGCCTCCCCTACCAAAGGTTCTCTTCCCTACCCAGTTTTGCTTCATGGTCGAGGCAAATCATTATCATTCGTAGTCGTGTAGTGTCGTGAATGCTTTAGTACTAAAACCACCAACTAGAATTATTTTTTTCATTTTTAAAAGCAATGAATGTATACTATATATGTAAAAACACATTAGGAAGTAACAGAAATTGAAGACATTTGAACTGACCACAGATAATAGAACTGACATTGAACTATTTAAACTGACCTGACCTTAGCGGTGACCACCACAGATAGGAAACACATGTTAAAAATAACCAGACTGACCACAGATGTAATAACGTATAATGGAGATAACCAATAATCAAATTGTCTACAGCATTGTGACCACCATATTGACCAACACAGAAAGTATAGCTTAAAAATATTATATGTGTTTACAACCCCAACAAATCCCCGATGTTTGAAATCTAAGTTGAAGTTAACCATCATTATCCCGTGACTTTGTGTAGGAAGCGCCATGGATGAAACAGTACAACAGTACAAAGTAATCGACGTAGCTTCGCTACTCCAGACAAAGTACGCCATACTTTCTGGTAAGTGTCGCTTCTAGTCTTACTACTACAAAGTACGCCATACTTTCTGGTAAGTTTCGCTACTAGTCTCACTACTACAAAGTACGCCATACTTTCTGGTAAGTTTCGCTACTAGTCTCACTACTACAAAGTACGCCGTTACGCTATACTTTCTGGTAAGTTTCGCTACTAGTCTCACTACTACAAAGTACGCCATACTTTCTGGTAAGTTTCGCTACTAGTCTCACTACTACAAAGTACGCCATACTTTCTGGTAAGTTTCGCTACTAGTCTCACTACTACAAAGTACGCCGTTACGCTATACTTTCTGGTAAGTTTCGCTGCTAGTTTCACTACTACAAAGTACGCCATACTTTCTGATAAGTTTCGCTACTAGTCTCACTACTACAAAGTACGCCGTTACGCTATACTTTCTGGTAAGTTTCGCTGCTAGTTTCACTACTACAAAGTACGCCATACTTTCTGGTAAGTTTCGCTACTAGTCTCACTACTACAAAGTACGCCATACTTTCTGGTAAGTTTCGCTACTAGTCTCACTACTACAAAGTACGCCATACTTTCTGGTAAGTTTCGCTACTAGTCTCACTACTACAAAGTACGCCGTTACGCTATACTTTCTGGTAAGTTTCGCTACTAGTCTCACTACTACAAAGTACGCCGTTACGCTATACTTTCTGGTAAGTTTCGCTGCTAGTTTCACTACTACAAAGTACGCCATACTTTCTGATAAGTTTCGCTACTAGTCTCACTACTACAAAGTACGCCGTTACGCTATACTTTCTGGTAAGTTTCGCTGCTAGTTTCACTACTACAAAGTACGCCATACTTTCTGATAAGTTTCGCTACTAGTCTCACTACTACAAAGTACGCCGTTACGCTATACTTTCTGGTAAGTTTCGCTGCTAGTTTCACTACTACAAAGTACGCCATACTTTCTGGTAAGTTTCGCTACTAGTCTCACTACTACCCTAAAACTCATTCTACTTTTGATCGACTTTTGGATCTTTGTTTTTGCCTCTGGAGACAATGGATGAATCCAGGGAAGTGGAATCTTCAGAGTGGGTCCCAGGACATTAAACAAAGTGATCATGGGTTGTCCTACATCTTCATCTCTCTCTCTACCTTTGCCTGTCAAGTCTAAAGAAATGCTAAGCTGTATGTTTGGTACTTGCCGAAAGGAAACCAGAGGTGGTAATACTTTTGTCTAAGGGAATCCATTCCTGTTTGATGCCGGAGTTGTCTCCCCTAGATGGGTTGCTGTCCCCAGCTAAAGATTCTCATCGGCCCCGGGTTGGAACTCGGGAGTTTCGGGTTCACTGTCATGTGGTCTTGGTGGTTAGCACTTAAATCATTCACTTTACCGTCATAAATTTAAATTTTTTAAAATTATTTTAAAATGATGCTTATCATTGACATGATTTTCCTTTCTACTCTCCCCAGGAGGAAAAGCCAAAAATGGGGCGCCCATAATGACATTCCCCGCCCGCCCCGGACTGCCCGATGTACCAGACGAGGATTATGGGAAGGTAGTTTCCTACCTGTGTGGGATTACACCGTGAGTTTGGTTTAACCCACCTGTAGTCAGGTGTCGGGGAGATGACCGGTTTGGTTATAATCTCGTGTTTTAACTCACCTGTAGTCAGGTTTCGGGGAGATGACCGGTTTGGTTAAATCCCTGTCACAGGGGTGTGTTTTAATATCCACGTTTACGGCTTTGTCCAGTGTTCGAATCCTGGACGGAGCAGGTGATGTAGACATCTTTATAGATTGTGACAGTCCCCCCCCCCCCCCACCTCAATCCTACTATCAGATTCTAGATCTAATTTGAAAAATCTGATCATAACCACAAAGCATATCAAAGCTGATCACCGATAATGATTTCACTCAGATTTTTTTTATGCCTAGCAGCGACTGGGTGGGTGTGTTTGTTTGGGGGTGGTCGAGGTTGATTGGTGGGGGAATTATTGTTCGCAATTAGCCCCATCAAGTATTTTAAACTCGGCCATTTAAACAAATTAACAGAGTTTTCACCAATCAATTAAATCTAGGAGTACTTTTAACGAGTTAATATTAAACGTTTCCATTTTTATCGTTTTTAAACCATAGCCATACATTGTTTTCTGTGTGTTTTAAATATAGGACGGTACGCCATTGATTTCTGTTCCGATGTTGAATTCTTTTAACGAGATCAAATTAATTCCGATAGTTTGTAATACGTGTAAAGACGTTGAGTGAAATAAAATAAAAAATAAAAACCATTTTTTATCGTCCTCACAAGCAGTGTTTCTTCCAGGTTTTTTCTCCCGGGGGAAGGGGGGGGGCACACACTAATAAATGTATATATTTTCTATATAAATTCTGTTTCGTTCGGGGGGGGGGGGGGGACGAGCCCCACGAAGAGATGTCTGGAAGAAACTCTGCTCACAAGTAAATCTTGTTGGTACTGCTAGTCTATAGAATAGGAACAGTCGCTTGATCAAGAATATTTGCATATGTCATTGTCTTTTCACTTCGCCATTTTCGACGTTTATGAAAAGTTACTTTAATTTTGCTTTACAACTTTGTTTGGCAGCCATCAATAGAATCTAAACTTGTGCATATAAAACATAATTATGAACCAACACCTGATCGTATTGTTCCCCACATGCAAATATTTAAATGAACTCAAACTATTCTGTCAGGACCACTCATCACAAGGCCGCGTTAAGGGTTAATTAAAAAATAAATCGGGGAAATAACCAGATGAAAACTCTAACCAAATCAAAACTCTAAACATTGTTCCTGTTTAACGAAATAAATCGTAATCCTTTTTCATCTATTCATCTGTGGATGTTGTGCTAACAACTAAAAAGATTTATGTGCGAATTTTACATCAGTTTCCAAGGGGAAAAGTAGGTTACTAAAAGTACAAGGTTATTAAAAATTCCAAACGATAATCAATAAATAAGATTGATGTACAGGCAATAAAAGTAAATCGTAGTGACCTACTGCTGTAGAGACACGTCTTATTTAACGACACGTCTCGTTTAACGACACGTCTTATTTAACGACATGTCTCATTTAACGGCGTTTCTTATTAATGACTCTCTCTTTACACTAAAAGTCCCGTTAACAAAATGCCCTACCAACAAAATGTCCTACCATCAAAATGTCCTACCAACAAAATGTCCTACCAACAAATCCAGCATGATGTCCTATCAACTAAATGTTCTACCAACGAACTGTCCTACCACAAAAAATGTCCTACCAACAAATGTCCTGCCAGCAAAATGTCCTACCAACAATGTCCTACGAACGAAATCTCCTACCAACAAAATGCCCTATTAACAAAATGTCCTACCATTAATGTCCTACCAACGAAATGTCCTACCACCAAAATGTCCTACCAACGAAATGTCCTACCAACTAAATGTCCTAGTAACAAAATGTCCTCTATATCACCAGGCTTCACGAGTCGGAGGCCGGGTTTGTGATAGTGATAGACAGACGCCAAGACAGTTGGGGCGCGGTCAAGGCCATCCTACTCAAACTCTCGGTAAGTTTGGTCGTCTGATTAAACAGGGTAGACACGTTGCAGGGTAGGGAGATGTTGGGACCACAGGGGAGATGTTGGGACCCCGGGGGAGATGTTGGGGCCATAGGGGAGATGTTGGGACCACAGGAAGAGATGTTGGGACCACAGGGGAGATGTTGGGGCCACAGGGGAGATGTTGGGACCACAGGGGAGATGTTGGGACCCCGGGGGAGATGTTGGGGCCACAGGGGAGATGTTGGGACCACAGGGGAGATGTTGGGACCACAGGGGAGATGTTGGGACCACAGGGGAGATGTTGGGACCCCGGGGGAGATGTTGGGACCACAGGGGAGATGTTGGGACCACAGGGGAGATGTTGGGACCCCGGGGGAGATGTTGGGGCCACAGGGGAGATGTTGGGACCACACGGAAGATGTTGGGACCACAGGGGAGATGTTGGGACCACAGGGGAGATGTTGGGACCACAGGGGAGATGTTGCGACCACAGGGGAGATGTTGGGACCCCGGGGGAGATGTTGTGGCCACAGGGGAGATGTTGGGACCAAAGGGAAGATGTTGGGACCACAGGGGAGATGTTGGGACCACAGGGGAGATGTTGGGGCCACATGGTAGATGTTGGGACCACAGGGGAGATGTTGGGACCACAGGGGAGATGTTGGGACCCCAAGGAAGATGTTGGGACCACAGGGGAGATGTTGGGACCACAGGGGAGATGTTGGGGCCACATGGTAGATGTTGGGACCACAGGGGAGATGTTGGGACCACAGGGGAGATGTTGGGACCCCAAGGGAGATGTTGGGACCACAGGGGAGATGTTGGGACCCCAAGGAAGATGTTGGGACCACAGGGGAGATGTTGGGACCACAGGGGAGATGTTGGGACCACAGGGGAGATGTTGGGGCCACAGGGGAGATGTTGGGGCCACAGGGGAGATGTTGGGTCCACAGGGGAGATGTTGGGACCCCAAGGGAGATGTTGGGACCATAAGGAGATGTTAGTTGGGGACATTCTGTAATGTTAGTTGAGATATTTGATAGTTGACAATTCGAGGGTTGGTCAGAGGATGGATTAAAATATGTAGGAATCAAAGATGATTGGTGGGTGGGTGTGGTAGAGATTACACCTAGTGACCCTGGGACCGACCAGTTCACGTCAGAATGCTCTAGAAGGCCGTGATTGGCGGCCAATTAGAGGACAGCAGGTGAACCACAGCCTCCATGTCCACACTGATGGACTGTAGTGGACATCTGCACCTGTTGTTCTCTTAAGATAGTATCCTGCGTTAGAAAACTCCATTGGTCAAAGGAATTGAACAATAGGCCAGTTAAATGTCTTGTAAAAATAACATGCTCAGAGGATTTGTTGCATGACCTGCAACTTGTTTATATACTTTTTGCAGGCGTTTTTCCCTGTCCTTATTTACTGTAAAAACGTAACATATTCAGAGGATTTGTTGCATGACCTGCAACTTGTTTGTATACTTGTTGCAGGCGTTTTTCCCTGTCCTTATTTACTGTAAAAACGTAACATATTCAGAGGATTTGTTGCATGACCTGCAACTTGTTTCTATACTTGTTGCAGGCGTTTTTCCCTGTCCTTATCTACTGTAAAAACGTAACATATTCAGAGGATTTGTTGCATGACCTGCAAGTTGTTTCTATACTTGTTGCAGGCATTTTCCCTGTCCCTATTTACTGTAAGAACATAACATATTCAGAGGATTTGTTGCATGACCTGCAACTTGTTTCTATACTTGTTGCAGGCGTTTTTCCTTGTCCTTATTTACTGTAAAAACGTAACATATTCAGAGGATTTGTTGCATGACCTGCAACTTGTTTCTATACTTGTTGCAGGCGTTTTTCCCTGTCCTTATTTACTGTAAAAACGTAACATATTCAGAGGATTTGTTGCATGACCTGCAACTTGTTTCTATACTTGTTGCAGGCGTTTTTCCCTGTCCTTATCTACTGTAAAAACGTAACATATTCAGAGGATTTGTTGCATGACCTGCAAGTTGTTTCTATACTTGTTGCAGGCATTTTCCCTGTCCCTATTTACTGTAAGAACATAACATATTCAGAGGATTTGTTGCATGACCTGCAACTTGTTTCTATACTTGTTGCAGGCATTTTCCCTATCCCTATTTACTGTAAGAACATAACATATTCAGAGGATTTGTTGCATGACCTGCAACTTGTTTCTATACTTGTTGCAGGCATTTTCCCTGTCCCTGTTTACTGTAAGAACATAACATATTCAGAGGATTTGTTCTATGACCTGCAACTTGTTTGTATACTTGTTGCAGGCGTTTTTCCCTGTCCTTATTTACTGTAAAAACGTAACATATTCAGAGGATTTGTTGCATGACCTGCAACTTGTTTCTATACTTGTTGCAGGCGTTTTTCCCTGTCCTTATCTACTGTAAAAACGTAACATATTCAGAGGATTTGTTGCATGACCTGCAAGTTGTTTCTATACTTGTTGCAGGCATTTTCCCTGTCCCTATTTACTGTAAGAACATAACATATTCAGAGGATTTGTTGCATGACCTGCAACTTGTTTCTATACTTGTTGCAGGCGTTTTTCCTTGTCCTTATTTACTGTAAAAACGTAACATATTCAGAGGATTTGTTGCATGACCTGCAACTTGTTTCTATACTTGTTGCAGGCGTTTTTCCCTGTCCTTATTTACTGTAAAAACGTAACATATTCAGAGGATTTGTTGCATGACCTGCAACTTGTTTCTATACTTGTTGCAGGCGTTTTTCCCTGTCCTTATCTACTGTAAAAACGTAACATATTCAGAGGATTTGTTGCATGACCTGCAAGTTGTTTCTATACTTGTTGCAGGCATTTTCCCTGTCCCTATTTACTGTAAGAACATAACATATTCAGAGGATTTGTTGCATGACCTGCAACTTGTTTCTATACTTGTTGCAGGCGTTTTTCCTTGTCCTTATTTACTGTAAAAACGTAACATATTCAGAGGATTTGTTGCATGACCTGCAACTTGTTTCTATACTTGTTGCAGGCGTTTTTCCCTGTCCTTATTTACTGTAAAAACGTAACATATTCAGAGGATTTGTTGCATGACCTGCAACTTGTTTCTATACTTGTTGCAGGCGTTTTTCCCTGTCCTTATTTACTGTAAAAACGTAACATATTCAGAGGATTTGTTGCATGACCTGCAACTTGTTTCTATACTTGTTGCAGGCATTTTCCCTGTCCTTATTTACTGTAAAAACGTAACATATTCAGAGGATTTGTTGCATGACCTGCAACTTGTTTCTATACTTGTTGCAGGCGTTCTTCCCTGTCTTTATTTACTGTAAAAACGTAACATATCCAGAGGATTTGTTGCATGACCTGCAACTTGTTTCTATACTTGTTGCAGGCGTTTTTCCCTGTCCTTATTTACTGTAAAAACGTAACATATTCAGAGGATTTGTTGCATGACCTGCAACTTGTTTCTATACTTGTTGCAGGCATTTTCCCTGTCCTTATTTACTGTAAAAACGTAACATATTCAGAGGATTTGTTGCATGACCTGCAACTTGTTTCTATACTTGTTGCAGGCGTTCTTCCCTGTCTTTATTTACTGTAAAAACGTAACATATCCAGAGGATTTGTTGCATGACCTGCAACTTGTTTCTATACTTGTTGCAGGCGTTCTTGCCTGTCTTTATTTACTGTAAAAACGTAACATATCCAGAGGATTTGTTGCATGACCTGCAACTTGTTTCTATACTTGTTGCAGGCGTTCTTCCCTGTCCTTATTTACTGTAAAAACGTAACATATACAGAAGATTTGTTGCATGACCTGCAACTTGTTTCTATACTTGTTGCAGGCGTTCTTCCCTGTCTTTATTTACTGTAAAAACGTAACATATCCAGAGGATTTGTTGCATGACCTGCAACTTGTTTCTATACTTGTTGCAGGCGTTCTTCCCTGTCCTTATTTACTGTAAAAACGTAACATATACAGAAGATTTGTTGCATGACCTGCAACTTGTTTCTATACTTGTTGCAGGCGTTCTTCCCTGTCCTTATTTACTGTAAAAACGTAACATATACAGAAGATTTGTTGCATGACCTGCAACTTGTTTCTATACTTGTTGCAGGCGTTCTTCCCTGTCCTTATTTACTGTAAAAACGTAACATATCCAGAGGATTTGTTGCATGACCTGCAACTTGTTTCTATACTTGTTGCAGGCGTTCTTCCCTGTCCACATTCAAGTCGTGTTCCTGCTGCAGCCAAAAGGTTTCTTCCAGAGGGCGTTTGCTGACTTCAGGTCAAAGTTCGTCAAAGAGGAACTGGAGTTCAAGGTCAGTGATTAACTCACCTTTCACCTCTTTCACAAGACATTGATGCACACTGCTGTATAGTAACCAATGTCTTGGGGTGTGTGTGGGTTGTAATGTTAACAAAAGCTGAGTCCTGGGATAATGTTAGTCATCAATGTGGTTGTCTGTGTGTGGGTTTAGTGTTAATTTAAAGCTGAGTCCTGGGATAATGTTAGTCATCAATGTGGTTGTCTGTGTGTGGGTTGTAATGTTAACAAAAGCTGAGTCCTGGGATAATGTTAGTCATCAATGTGGTTGTCTGTGTGTGGGTTGTAATGTTAACAAAAGCTGAGTCCTGGGATAATGTTAGTCATCAATGTGGTTGTCTGTGTGTGGGTTGTAATGTTAACAAAAGCTGAGTCCTGGGATAATGTTAGTCATCAATGTGGTTGTCTGTGTGTGGGTTGTAATGTTAACAAAAGCTGAGTCCTGGGATAATGTTAGTCATCAATGTGGTTGTCTGTGTGTGGGTTTAGTGTGAATTTAAAGCTGATCCCTAGCTAAAGTTCCAGTCTCCAGAATGTGTTGTGTCTCCCCCCCCCCCAGGTTGTGTTGTGTGACAGTCCAAAAGACATGGAGGATTACATTGAGACAGCTCAGCTGACCTTAGATGTGGGCGGAGAACTGGAGTTTGATGCCAGTGAGTGGACGGAGCACAGATCTGTGAGTATCAACATACACCTGTATCAACATCCTACCTGTATCAGCATACACCTGTATCAACATATACCTGTATCAACATACATCTGTATCAACATACATCTGTATCAACATACACCTGTACCAACATACATCTTTATCAAAACCTGATCTGAATCAGCATACACTTGAATCATCTGACCAGAATCAACATACACCTGTGTAACCATACACCTGTATCAACATACACCTTTATCAACATCTGATCTGAATCAACATCTGACTTGAATCAACATACACCTTTATCAACATCTTACCTGTCATATATCATACCTGTATAAATAAACATAACACAATCAGACTGTTATTGATACATTGAAAATTTTTAATTTAACAATTATAATTTTAAATAACATTTTTTTTTCATACACAATCTGTGAATTCTCTGTCATTGGAACAAAATCTAACCAATCCTGTTCTTTGAAACAAAATCTAACCAATCCTGTTCTCTGAAACAAAATCTAACCACTCCTGTTCTTTGAAACAAAATCTAACCAATCCTGTTCTTTGAAACAAAATCTAACCAATCCTGTTCTTTGAAACAAAATCTAACCAATCCTGTTCTTTGAAACAAAATCTAACCAATCCTGTTCTTTGAAACAAAATCTAACCAATCCTCTTCTTTGTAACAAAATCTAACCAATCCTGTTCTCTGAAACAAAATCTAACCAATCCTGTTTGAAACAAAATCTAACCAATCCTGTTCTTTGAAACAAAATCTAACCAATCCTGTTCTTTGAAACAAAATCCAACCAATCCTGTTCCTTGAAACAAAATCCAACCAATCCTGTTCTTTGAAACAAAATCTAACCAATCCTGTTCTTTGAAACAAAATCTAACCAATCCTGTTCTCTGAAACAAAATCTAACCAATCCTGTTTGAAACAAAATCTAACCAATCCTGTTCTTTGAAACAAAATCTAACCAATCCTGTTCTTTGAAACAAAATCTAACCAATCCTCTTCTTTGTAACAAAATCTAACCAACCCTGTTCTTTGAAACAAAATCTAACCAATCCTGTTTTTTGAAACAAAATCTAACCAATCCTCTTCTTTGTAACAAAATCTAACCAACCCTGTTCTTTGAAACAAAATCTAACCAATCCTTTCTCTGAAACAAAATCCAACCAATCCTGTTCTCTGAAACAAAATCCAACCAATCCTGTTCTCTGAAACAAAATCCAACCAATCCTGGCAGGCTGTAGAAAAGTTCTCCAAGAACACCGCCCAGATCTCCACCAACCTGTCTGCTGTGGTTAAGAAAATGGAGGAGAGAGAGCTGCCCAATGACGTCACTGGTAACAAGTTATTATTAATCTCTAGCTATCTATCTGTTAGTCAGTCGTCAGGTGTCTATGTTTTTATCAGTTGTCAGTTGTCCATCTGTTAGACATCAGTTGTCCATATGTCAGTCAGTCGTAAGTTGTCCTTACTTTAAACAATCTGGTGAAATTTGTAACATATTGAGAAATCAAAATGTAAAAAAAAAGTTTACAAAATTTTTTAAGTGTGTGTGTGTGTAATGTTACTTAGTATGTGTGTGTGTGTTATGTTGTTTAATGTGTGTGTGTGTCATGTTATTAAATGTGTGTGTGTCATGTTATTTAATGTGTGTGTGTCATGTTATTTAGTGTGTGTGTCATGTTATTTAGTGTGTGTCATGTTATTTAATGTGTGTGTGTCATCTTATTTAGTGTGTGTGTCATTTTATTTAGTGTGTGTGTGTGTCATGTTATTTAGTGTGTGTGTCATGTTATTTAGTGTGTGTGTATCATGTTAATTAGTGTGTGTGTGTCATTTTATTTAGTGTGTGTGTGTGTCATGTTATTAACATTGCTATTGATTGTATGTATATACTGGGTAACAGCTGTCAATCTATGTTTATTATTAGCTCTACTTATTTACATATTTGTTTATAACAAATAAACATAAATTTTAATAAACAGTTTAGTGATAATTATTCATTATTCTACGTATATAGTTGTAACAACTTAGTAAAAGCTATAAACAGTATACAACATATTAAAGAAACTAATACTATAAGTACTTTAACTACAGACTAAATAACTAGTGTCTAAACTTAAAAACCAAATTTTATTTTTTGCTGTTGTGTATTTAAAAAAAAATTGTGTACTCACACAGGCACAGAGGCGGTGATGCGTGTCTGTATGGCGGAGAGGAAGGAACTGCTGGAGGATATAGACAGCGCTTCAGCCCACGGGGAGACTCTGCTCAAGTGCATCAAGGGGGACAACTCTAACACACCCTTGACAAAACTCTGCCATGTCTTAGAGCTGGAGAGGTAAATTAAAAAGTTGGATCCAGATTTATGACATGCCCCCACTCCCCCCCCCCCCCCAACACACACACATGTACACACTCATACACAGCCTTAAAAAGTTTTAAAAGCCTTCTCTCACTCACACACATACACATGCATGCACACACATTTTTACAAGATTTAATCCTAGTTTCCACACACTTTTCCACACACACACCAACGCACACATGTACATACATTCATATACATAACACACATGTACATAGATACATATGTACAGACACACGTACATACACACACAGACATACATCTTTAAAATGTATTACAAAATAGATCTGCCTTATGACTTCTACATAATGCTTCATTAGTTCAACCTAGTCAACAATATTAAATGCTGAGTTCACCTTCTAATTATTAATTACCACAAGACCAGCTGTTCTAATTCAGGAAGTGCCACCTGCCTCACTTAATTACATGCATAATTTAAATTCATAATTTATTCATATCATCATTACCACTGATACACTAAGGATGCACATATTGTATGGAGTGGAGGGGGTGGGGTGGCTTAACAGTTTGTAATATCTGTTATATGGGGTAGGGTGATGTTTCTATCCAAGCGTTTGATTCTCCCTTTTTTATCTGTTATTTCAAATATTTAAATAATACATTTAACAAAGATGGTTTACACAAAAATTCTATAAATAGAACCTTAAAAGCTTTGCTTTGGTTTGTAATAAAGATTTGACAAGTGAATATTGTTTTCTATTCTGATTCCCAAAATGTATTTTCAAGTCACTGACCACTGAGTTTTTGTTGTAGGCCGACAATATTGTGTTATGGTTTGAGGGAAGGGGTTGGTTGCTAAAAGTGCCATGTTATATTAAGAAATATCTGAAGATAAGTTATATAACAATACACAGTCCTGGTTGGTATGAAATATTTTATTTTATGCACCACCAGCTTCTACCACAGACAAATAAAGACTAGTTTTTCACTAAGGGAAGTAACTAGAATTTAACTTTCTCACAATTTTGTTCTAATTTACAAGACAGATCTAATAAACACACTGAATCCCATATTTTCACAAAGGTTAACCTTGTAATGTATATCTTTTTAGATAAGAAAAAGGAGATATAAAAACTGAAATATACACGGTTGACTGTGAATGTATATATATATATATATATATATATATATATATATATATATATATATATATATATATATATATATATATATATATATATATATATAATTATACTTCGCAATGTTTTCTTCCATTTTTGTCAAACCATCATCTGTTCATAAGCAAATTCATTAACAAAAAAAAAGACAAAACATTTTAAAATCTCTACAATCTCATTTAAACTGTCAGAAACTCCGCTTTTGTTTTAAAATGATGTTATATATGACCTAGCTTGCTTGTTCAACTTAACTAAACTAATGTTAAACTTTATCTAGTGTACTTGACTTAGCTTGCTTGACCAACTAATATAAAATTATGTTAACCTTTACCAACTAATATAAAATGTTAACCTTGACCTAGATTGCTTGACCCACTAATATAAAATGTTAACCTTGACCTAGGTTGCTGGTCCAGCTGGATGAGAGCAGAACTGGGTTTGGTGAGTTCTGGCACAGACACGAGGCCAAATTAAAACAGTGTCTGGTTGTCAGACGGTTTGAAGAGGAGTTTAAGTTGGTGAGTTTGATTTTTAATCTTTGATTTGTTTAAAGCTGTTTTTATGTTGTTTCAATTTGATTCTTAACCTCAAGGAAATTGGTTTTCTTTAGTTTTTAGTGTTAGTCCTATTAGTTTTATTTCTAGTTTAAGTAGATCTACAAGTAAGGGGTCATCCATAAATGACGTTACGCTTTTTATTTGACGATTTTTTTTACCTCACCCCTCCCCTCCGTCACACGGTGTCACAAAAAGGTAGACCCCCCCCCCCTAAAATGACTTCACATCTTAGCTTTCAAAATTGCTGTTAAATTTTTATTAAAACATCGATATTTTTACAAAATCATGTCAGAATTTCGTCAACATAGAGTATTTTTTTATCAATTTATTAAAACCGTTTTCTAAAACGCGAAATAATGGCTAAAACTCATTTTCTAACATTGCTTTTTGATAAAGCTAAAAAGTGACATCACTCTACCTGAACCCCGTCCCCCCCCCCCCCCTGTCCCCCTCATCACACACCGTCCCAAAATTACGGACCCCCTCCCCCCTACGAGTGTGACGTCATTTATCAACGACCCGTAAATTCTAATCCCACTATGTAATAGATAATTTTCTTAAAATTGGTAGGCTCAGTTGTCTTAAGGGAATATTGTTAAAAACATGTTGATACAGTTGTGCTTAGAAAGTAATTTTGTAAAAATCGTGTAGGTTTAGTTGGTTTAAATTTCTTGTTGTGAAATCTTCAGGTTCAGTTTGTAAATTTTGTGTGTGAAATCTTCAGGTTCAGTTCTCCATGGAGAGGAGATTAGAAACATTGGAGTCCCAAACAGAAGAGCTGGGTAACTCTGTCATGCACGTGGAACAGCTGATCAGAGATTTTGATAAATTTGAGGAGGATTCACAAGTAAGTTGCTAGGTTTTTTCCCCTACTTTTTCAAATACATTCTTGTCAAAATCTCAACAGTTGCTTTTTGTTATACCCCCTTTTATTTTCATTAGCATTGTTTATTGTTTAAAAAGATATTTTCAAGTTAATGCCCAATTGACTAATTATAATTATTATTTTTATTGACAATAAAAAGGATTTAAAAAAAACAACAACCCAGTAACACAGGACCGACAACCCTCTTTAACCACAGTTAAACAAAAATCACAGTTGTCTTTCTTAGATTATTATAAATAACGCATTTTCTTGCATTGAATGACATAAAATTGGCATGGTTTATTTAACCTTCCTTGAATGGTAATTTCTGAAAATAAAGTTTTAGTGGGGCCAACATAGTGGTACCATCAAAATGGTGCCATCACACGATTGCAGTTGTACCATCTCACCATCATAGTGGTAGTGCCATCATATCATCATAGTAATTCCATCAGTGAAACCATTATATTGATACCATCACAGCAGTACCACCACATTGGTACTTGCTGGTACCATATCTTCTGTATTTCTTCATGTCTATATAACAGATATCAATATAGTTGTATCTGTTATTATACAGTACTGTTATAATAGATTTTTATTTATTTTTATTTTCAATGCATTTCAAAACTTTACAATCGGAGCATTGTATTATAAAAAAAAACTAAAAATACATTTTATTTGTATCTGATTTCTAAAAATACACTTTATAAGTATCTTATCTTTAAAAATACACTTTATAAGTATCTTATCTCTAAAAGTACGCTTTATTTGTATCTGATCTCTACTTTCTTCCAGGGTTTCCATGTTTTTTCCAACTTTTAAAGATATTCTCTTAAAGAAATCATTTCCCAAACTTCTCTAGACTTGCTTGTCTAACAAATATCAAGTAATTAAATTTTTCATTTTAATATAATTTAAACAACTGCTTACATAAATACCCTATAAAATTAACGGGATATAAATTACCATCACCTTCCAACATCTCCTAAAGAGCTAAATAGCTTTTTAAAATAATTAAAAAAACTCCAGAAATGGCTGGCGACCATAATTTGCTTTATTGATAAAATGGTCAACACAAGATATTGACAAATGATTTTTTTTTTTAAACTACAAACGTCTGGACGTGTGTCACGTGGTATTTGGACAAAAAACTATTTGCACGCGTTAACTGGTTCAACCCAGACTGACGCCTTTAGACAAGGGAGACAATCATAAGTGATGAGCTGTTGAGTATTGACAGGCTGCTATGATTTGTTGATTCAGTCCCTTGACTCCTGACTTGAGTCAGTTTGTCAACACGGATTCGAACGTCTTTTCTTTCAGATCGGGCCCAGCGACATAGTTGTTGATTTTTTTTCTTTTGTTTTCCTTTATTGTCGAAAACATGATTTTTTATAGAACACTGCTTACGATAACCGTAGTTCTAGTCTAATCAAAAACTAATGCAAACTAACCACAACAGAAAACCTAATTCTTCACCTAACAATTATAGCAATTTTTTTCACCCCCAAGTCTATGTTCATTTTTATGTGAACTTTGTTATTGCAAAACTTGTAATTGTAAAAAAAAAAAAAAAAAAAAAAAAAAAAATAGCAATTTTTGTGTTTTTTAGACATGACTATTACCTTGCTTTAAAACTTATAAAATCGCGATACTATTATTTTGTTGACAACTTAAATATAATTAATTGTCTTCTAATTTCAATTCATTTCAATTTTTGTTTTTACTGAATATTTTAGCATTAAAATATTGCCACTTTGTAAGTTATGTCCTCCGAACGTTAACTTATTTAATATTCCACAACAAATCTCTGACGATTTTAACCTTCTTTCATTGACTAAACCGTAAAGACAGCTAAAGCGAGCGTGGGTCAAGGTGTTTATTTACAGGTGTCTCTACACCTGGTGCACCTCAGCACGCCTGCTGTGATTGTAACGCTGGCTCGTGCCACGCGGACCCTAACAAAGCTCATCAGCTAATCCGCGCGGACCCACAAGAAGTCACTCGTCTGTGGGTGTTGGTGTCTTGTGGTCGAGGGAAAATCTATTTTCTTGTTGAGCTAGACGTGAAACTGTTGACAAAAATCTCCTAAACCAAAAGATTATGTGGTGAAATAGAGGTGTTCAAGTTGACCACTCACTTTTAAAACTGTTGACTTTGTACTGAAATAGAGATAAAAATTTCAATTAAACACTCTTAAACATAATGAGTATATACATTCAAATACATTGAAATATATATGAAATGTCTAAAACATCTTTAGACTGTTCTAATTTTCTTTCATAAAAAAACAACGGCGAAAACCTTTTTAATGAAACTTCTGTTACGTATTTTAAAGGTTACTTATTCAACTCTTATTTCAATTGAATGGAGGTTGCGCAGCATACCTTTACGCTGGACAGATCCAATGAACAGTCTTCCTGTAAATACAAGGGCAGTAACCCTTCATCACACACAAACACACACACACACACACACAAACACACACACACACCGTACTTCCGGTCAGTTCCTCCTACTTTTTGATTATCCAGTGTAAAAAAAAACGTAAAACTGTTTACTGATTGGCCTCTGCGCAATGATTGACGTCATCACATGGTAACGTTTTAATTATCTACGGGTAAACATGACGTCATTCACACCCACTAGGCCGGAGAGTCGTGGCGTAGGGGTGTGAGAGTATGTACATTATTCATCGTCTTCTTGCAGCCGTCCATCCACGACCCCTGATATACTTTTAATATCTGGAACTGGTACCAAGTTTTTTTTTATTGGTGGGATTTTTTTTCTCAGACGTCAGCATTTAATGAATCGTCTGCCGAAGATTTGGTTGAAATGTTTGGTAGAAGATGCTAACGTCTGCTTCAAGTTGGTTCATGAAGTATCTCCTGCTAGTTTCATAAGATTAGTAAAAAATGATATCTGTAGCTGTAGCTGTCAAAGCTGTTAGCCATATTACCCATAAAGATATATATATATATATATATATATATATATATATATATATATATATATATATATATATATATATATATATATATATATATATATATATATATAAAGTGTGTATGTTAGCTATATTGGCTCCAACAAGTCAAAATTATTCAATCCTACCAGTAAAAGCAACACAAATCTTTATCAAAACATATCTACAAATAATAACAATTCTGGGTTTTCAAAAATCAACTCTTGTCCTTTATTAAATCTAAAAATAGCAACGATGGACGAACCGATGCGTCACATGGGTGAGTAGTCGGAGATTCCACGAGCAGCTGGGGTTTTACCAGCCGTCAACTTTCTATGCAGACGACACAGTATGTCTTCAGCAGACGGCTGTGTCTCGTGTGTTCATCAACTCTTGTTGTACCTGCAGACGTTGACATAGCAAACAAACAAGCGTACACACATACTTGCGTACCTCCCAATCAATCGATTGTTATACGTCTGCCCACCTACTACCAGACGTCAATCAAATTGTGCTGAGCGCGGGAAATTTTTTTTTGTCACGCTTGATTGGGTCAGTAGAACCAGCACGAGGCTAACGCACCGGTATGAAACACGAGGATTTAATTACACGCGGCTGCTGTTCATTATTAATTAATTAGATCTATTTTAGCCAATTTGGTCAATCAGACATTTGATACCATTTCGGAAGCTGTAAATATTTAGCCCGGAAACTAACAGCCTACGGTAAGAATTCGTTAATTCTTTTACACTTTTGTTTATGAATACCAACAATTATATCTCTGATTTAAAACTTTTGTTCATGAATACCAAAAATTATATCTCTGATTTAAAACGCCCTTTGGGTCGTCAGGTTTGGAAATGTATGTTTGTGTTTCTATTTTATTTCAAAATTTGATATATTAATTAAACTATGACCTACGTGACCTTTCAACCTTATACAGTTGACAAAAATCAACTGTTGTAGTTTTTTTTATGTTTTTTGTTGTTTTTTGCGCTACAGATGGTCGCTTTAATTTCTTGAATTCTAGATCTAGTCCTTATCTTGATTCTAAAATCTAAATACATTTTGCATGACATTTTCTTAGAATTAATTTTTCTACATAACGCCTTACAAAATTCAAAGTGTTAAAGAAAATGTTGATAATCTGACCGTGGGTCACCTAAACCACGACTCATACCCCAGGCATCTCACTGTTATTCTCAGTCCTGCCGCTAAAGCCCGCATTGTTGACCTAAGCCTGGTCAACTTATTTGGCTTAGTTAGGTCAAACCGGCAATCGGCATGTCGTTTGGCTAAAAATAACATTTGTGATGCGCCTGTTGTTTGATTGTAGAGTAGACCAAAGCTAAACTAAAATGGGCTGTTTAAAATAATGCTTTAAATTTGAACTGTTTTTCGTGTATTGATTTTAAATTGTAATGCATAATATTTCAAACAACCAATTCCGACCAATTGTGGCAGTTTGATGTTTTTAGCTAGAAGCTGTGAGTTCAAACAATTTTTACACTCATTAAATTTTGTAGCGTAATTTATTTTAATGCTTGAAATCGTTTTAGTAACAAGCTTTCATGTAATAATACACTAAAAGGAGAAAATAAATAGATTTTCTTTAAAAAATAAGAATACGATACTTTTTAAATAACTGTAAAGAAAAGCGAGGGTCACTATATTATTCAATTGGATACATTTACTAATATTTAGGAAGAGACCCTAGCCTAACCCAAACTCTTACAATAACACATGGATTATGACGACTGGTTAAAATAGGTTTGCAATAGCCTTACATTTTAGGACATAACATGCCTTAAATATAGACTTTACTGCATGTTCAAACTGCTTTAAATAGTTGTCTAATCCCTGCGTTTTTAAGTTAATCGTTAAAAGCTGATTCTATTTACACCCACTAACCCACACATACAAGCCAACTACCTGACTTACAAATCACTGTCCACACACCACTGGTTTCTACCTGCCTTACACAACTGTCCACACACCACTGGATTCTACCTCA